AATAAGAAAAGTCTTCAATCTTCAATATACAGCATTCAAGATTCAAAACTATGATAAATATTCGAAATGCTATTTTTTTAAATGTTGTTAAGATTGTAAATTAAAAATAAATCAAGTGTGCATTCTGGCACTTCGTTTTTTTTTTATTTTAAGCCTAGACAAATTTTCAAAACTTAAAGATATTGCTTTGTTTTTGTTAATTAGGACTTAGTAGTAATGCGATAAATCGACCTCGGTAAAAAAAAAAATCGGCTCCTGCAACTAAATATCACTTCGTTTGAAATATTGCCAAATCATTCAGATTTTGCAGTTCCCTGAGCCCTTGGTTATACAAGTTTGTTATTAACATGAAATGTTGATTTAGAAAATAAATTACACTGGGAAAACTTAATACACGAGATGATTTTTTGTAGTGAAATTATGCCACTGAGAATAGCACCATTTCTGTTAAAAAAAAGCAATACAATCAATTTAAATTATGATAGTTTGAATTCCCTGTAAAAAAAGTTGCGATAAACACCTGGAATTTTTCGTTCAATTCCTGGAAAAACCTGGAAAACTCAGGGAGTTTTATTCAGCAAAATCAGTAGACACCTTAATATAGAAAGTTGAAAGCAAGCACAGGGCAATTTCTGATGACGGTATGAAACGAACCGAGCATTCCTTTTACCAAACTCTCCAGTTAGAGAAGGAAGGGTTGCTTACGAAGGGGTGTAAGGGGTTTAGACCATTGTTTCATTCTTCCTTCTTAACAAAGGCCATTGTTCGAAGTTTTCTTCGTACACGGTCCATCATCTTTTGCACGAGCCCTGTTCCCACTTTTTGGCTGCCAAACTCCGCTTCCGCTTGAAATCCTTCAGGTCAATTGCAGTACCAACCTTTTTCTTCATTATTTGCTTCACAATGGACCAGTATTCCTCAATTGGCCTTAGTTCCGGCAGGTTGGCCGTCTTCGTCACTGTGACGCCATTTTCGCTGTACCACTGCTTGGTGGAATTTGAGTAGAGGCAGCTTGCCGACCAGAATAGACAATCCACCTCATGGTGTTCCAGAAAAGGCAGTAGTCTCTTCCATAGACACTCCTCCTGGTAAATTTGCTGGTTCATAGTCCCAGAAGTAACGAAAGTTTTGCCTTTCAGCCCACAACTGCAGATTGCTTGCCAGACAAGGAAGTTTTTGGGGATTTTACATTCTTTCGAGGAAATCATCCGATCAACCGAGGTATAAAATTCCTGCCAAGGTATTTGATCGAAAACTGCCAGGAGCGGATGGACCGGGATTTTCGTTTCAAGTGTGCATAATCGAATCGCGACGAGTTTGTCCGGTGAAGCCATGATGTAAACAAATGAAATTATTCTGACAACTAATGCTTACTGTGATTCTATACACTGTTAGCTTGATTCAATGAAATTTTGAAAAAAAAAATTCTCAAAAAATGCCTTAATGGCAGCGTTTTTAATGTGTAAGGATTTTTTGTGTTCAACCTTTATAACTAGGACCATCTTTTGGTATAAAAAAATAGTTCAAAACTGATCCGCATAGATCGCTAAAGTCTAACTTTTAACCAAGGTTGCAAATACTCATTTCAGCTAAAACAATGTTTTTTTTAGTTATAAAATAATTAGATGCCATGATCATATTTTGAATTGGTAGGATACAAGAAAAGGTTGCAAAGAATGTGTTTGACATATTAAACCTGGGGAGCCAACCAACTCTGAAAATCGCTAACTTCGCGTATGAACTAACATAAAAAAAAAAAAAAAAAACACACACACTTTGAATATATTAAACTTGTTTATTTCACTTCATGAGAGTCACAATCAGCGATTTTTCACATACTCACTCACTCACTCACTCACTCACTCAGCGATCAGAAAATCGCTGATTGTGACTCAAACGCATACTTTGTAGCCTCTTCTTGTAAGTTACAAGTAAAACATGCCATCATACCATCTTTTGGTTTTATTATTCCGAAAAACATTATTTTAGCTGAAATGAGTATTTGCAACCTTGCTTTTAACTCTTACATGCTAGAGACTGTACATCTTAGACAAAGTTCAGAACTTCTAAACCAACAAACTTCTTCAAAATCTACAGATTTAGATGCTTGAATGAGACTGATAGCACAGACAAACAGACATTAGAAGGAAATTTTCTCAAAAATATCGTCGAGCGTATTTTGTAATATTCAACAACTCTTTTTTCTGTACTCGTTAGATGTGGTACTATGTCTACAGTGGGATGCCTTGACCACTTATCATTTTCAATAGCTGACATCTACTAAATTGACCTGAAAAAGAACTGACATCACTGATAAGTTTAAAATGTGATGGCTTGCTTAACGCTTCAGTGACGCCATTGTTACAAATGCGAGCACATTCCCAACTAAAACGTTATTTGAAATTGATGTGATTGTGAGTATTATGTCTGTTTGTCTGTGCTGATAGGTTGCTGAAGTTATTTTCATGCAAAATTGATGGCAAATCAAAGTTTTACCGGAGGTTTGGCTGTTGATATTTCGGTAATATTTTACTGAAGTCGATAATTTTTTCTAAGTAAAGTGGCTAATATCTGTCTTCACTTTAATAATGGTGTTTCGCGACGCGAAGTTTTAAAATTGGTGGGTTACAATCAACAGAAGTTTGAGATCAACTATTCTAGTTTCCTTGAAGATGATCCTGGAACGATCGTCGAAAACACAGCAGTGTTTTGAATTTTTCAAGACTATAATGCCGATTCCAAACATATTTAATAAGAATAATCATATCAAATCAACACTTTCCAGTTACAACTCTAATTTATCACAAGGCTGAGAAAGTCCCATTGCAGTCAATTTGCTGCACATTTATCACATCTTTTCCATGTCGCACTCCTGGCTATAGACGGAGCAAATAATCCATCAAGACAGCTTGCTGCCCTGCACCTGTTTTTTTTTACCATATTCTCATCTTATTAAGTGGTACAGTTTTTCTCCCATTCGCCGGTAGCAATCGGAATTCAGCCATTTCACTTTCGATCAATACATTAACTTGATTACTTATCAACTTCCTCCGGTTCGCGAAACCACTCGCCCGATATCTGTATTAAAACGGAAAACAAATCGATCCCTTACAGCAGGCGCTTTAACAGTTCTCGTTATCTTTGATTAAGTTGCCCTCCGGGACCGAGCCTGACTTACTAGCTGAACATTTGTCTTCCGTTCCCGCCAGTCGGTGGCCGGTTAACAATCGCAAAGAGTGAAAACGACTGCCCTATAAAAGAAAGCACTTCTTCAAGGTCCACGATTTTTTGGAATGAGTTTGATTAAACAAACGATTTTCAGTCGACCATGCAGAAGGCGTGAAAATCAGGCGCAGTTAGAAGTGATGATCAATTTGAACGCTATAGCCAGTCGCGGAATGGGGTCAGTTCCATTTACTTGACTGTGGAGTTCGAGTTTTGTTTAATGCGGGGGAGCGCTGCGACGCTGCAATTTAGGTTTACGATTTACATCTCACTTTCCAAGCGAATCGAGTGGAAAAATTAGAGTGTGACCTTACCTCACTTCTCTTCCTTTCGGGAATCACCGAATGCTATTGGCCGTTTCGTTCCAAATCGGTTCCTGGAGAAGACAATCAGATGTCCCACTTTGGAACCTGTATACTTTTTATTAACACGATCACATCGCCTCCTAATTCGGCAGATGCGACGACGGCGAACGCTTAGGTCACGAAGCGGAGAGCAATGAGATTAATCTAAGTTTTATATAAGCTCTAAAGCGTCGTGTGAGAGTGTGTGACTTCTTCACACTTTTAACAAAGTGAGAGCTGTTGCCTGTTGATACAGTTAGGTTTCAAGTTACCGTTAATGGGCACAATCAAGCGAAGGAGATGTCATTTGATATATGTGGTTACGCGTTAAAACCCTTTCCATCATCCAAACTGCTCCAGAGGGTTCTCTGGGGTCTGCTTCTTGCTCTATGTTTGGTAAGGTGGAAGAAAAGCCAGATAAAAACAGAAGGAAAAAAAACACAAAGAGGTCCAATAAAAGTGCAAGTGACCTCCTTCTTGTTTCTAGCAGCTCAGCAGCTGTGAACAACAGCTTAAACGTGTAGGAGATCAAACGCGAGATCATGTCTGGAGGACAGTAATGTAGGGAAACATTCACTTTTTTTCTTGCTTGCTCTATGAGTGCGGACCCCGAGGAGGGGAAAGGCTTCCTTTTACAGAGAAGACATCAACAACTAAAAAAGGGAGATTGTATCTCACGTGGGTTGGAGTAAAATGCATCCTCTCCACATTAGCAAAGTTAGTTGTTATTTCACCACGATCTCACACTATCAGAGCTCAATGTCGTAGATTCTGAAGTCATGTATTTAAATCCTGTGCACTGGCGTTGCTAATTAAGGTCCCTAGAGGGTAAGATCTTCTTCAGATTTGGGAACTGTAAGGGGCCTCTTAGAGGGGGGATAGAAATATTATTCGTTACTGCGATTCTTAAAAATCACTACTTAACAAACTCTATTCTTGTTCCATTCTTTGTTTCACGGACATAAGATGTCACCCTAACTGACCTCTTTAATTTTTAATTCTCCAACGGCTATCTTTATGACCCATCCGTTAATGGCTGGTATTCACTTTGGGTCAGATAGCGAACCACAAACGGTCGACCTTACATATATCTTTATCCAAACCAGCAAGCACGTGCCTCCTCCGTTTAAGATCCCCTTTTATGTTTTTAATTAGGCCCCCCATTTGGACCTTCCGCAAGTGTCGGCACTGAATAATCGCAAAAGAAACCGCTGAGACACCAAATATAATTCTCTTCATTGCCATAATCCCAAATCTAGCAGAATAGCACATAGCCAACAAGGACGTCCTCGCTCATCTTGTTTCGCTTTGATTTACGACTCGACCGACCTCCCCCATTGCCATAAATCCACGAATTCCACAATCTAACCTACAATTTCTTTCTGTTTCACTCCGCCCTCAACTCCTCAATTACCTTCATGAACACCGAAGTTGCACCGGTCGGGAGCACTACGACTATCGGGTCACCGATCATAACAACAACGCCACCGCAACCGCCTTCACCACCCATGATAACAAGTATGGTTACCAGGGCAACCACCCCCGGTACGAAGTGGACAGCAGCGACGAGGACGATGGCGACTCGATTCTCGACTGCCGCCGCCGATCCGGGAGTTCTAGTTCCATCTCGACCAGCACGGCCAGTAGCAGTGGCAGCCGTGGTTGGCTGGAGTACTTCAGTTCTAGCAGGTGGCATCTTCCACCGCCTGTCCGGAAGACCCTTGCGCTGATGTAAGTCTCGTTGTTGATGGTGGCCACTTTCGCTTTTTGTTTTTTGGAAGTGATTTTGCTTGCAATTTGCGTCCACCAGCCGCTTGTGATTTTGGTCGTGTTGTGTTTGTCCACGCTGCTTTCGCCGCCGCCGTGGGAAAATATTCCGTAATCTGGTGGGTCCATCATTGCCAGTGGCAGTGCAATCTGATACGTGATGCCGATCTGGAAGAGCTTTTCACAACAGTGTTGCTTGTTTTTTTGTTTTTGTTTTTGGTCCAATCTTGCTTGTGAGTGCTCATGTGTTCGCTTTAGATTTCAATACTATTCGCTTGTGTGAAGTTTGATTGTCGAAAATCGTATATCTACGCAATTGTTCCTTATATTACGGAACGATCCAACTGTAATACATTTCTACACTTTTCAGATGATCCGAAAATAAACTTAATTTGCTGTTTCGTTCAATGATTTGTTTAAGAGGCGTTAGTCTATACTGTGCTCTGGAAGAAAACCACCCACCAAATGAAAGCTTGCGCCCTTTTAATGTGAAGCTAGTATAAAAATGTTCTATCAGGGGTCTAGAAAACAGTTGTGGTTTATTTCAACCTTTCCCGATACCCTTGGAAGTTTATTTTGATCCAGAAGATTTTTCTGAATTCTCTTCCAGCTTTCCCACGAAGGTTCATTTGATATTTGCCTGGAGTTCATGTTAAGTTTAAGTTAGAAGGAAATTTTGGGAAAAGTTGACATCAGCTTCTTCAAACTTTGCCTGGCTATTTCTTCCAAGTTCCTTTATAAGTCCTTTTGGCTTCCCCTGAAAATGTCTTTAGATTTCCCAAGAAGGCTTTTTCCTGGCTTCTGTCGGAAGATTCTTTAGACTTCTTCTGGAAGATTCTCCCAATTTTGCCTGGAAAACCTTCTAGCTTCCACTAGAAGTATCGTTCATCTATCTCCGGATGTTTCTTGTAACTCCTCCGCGAAAATTCCTGTGAATTTCGGGGAAAATCCTTATATACTGTCTTTCAACTTACCTGGACGATTTTCAATCTCTCGCTGGAAGTTTCTATTTCCTTTGGACATTTCGGTAATTTTTTTCTCAAATTTTTCTACTTATTTAATTCTGGAGCGATGTGATCTATTTTTACTAAAAATTCCTGGGAACTGGGCAACGTGATTTTGGCAAATTTCCCGGAAATGGTTCCTCGAAATGTCCCAGATAGGTTACCCCGAACAGAAGAGAACATTAAATCAATAGCAAATTTTGCTATTCAAATCCAAATATAGATAATATCAATTTTGTATTAGATTGGTCGATATCAGAGCTAAACTAGCAAAAACAAATATATGACATATGGCTTCCCTTAGCTCAGTCGGTAAAGGCTACAAAGCAAGACCATGCTGGAGGCGGCTGGGTTCGATTCCCGGTCCGGTCTAGGAATTTTTCGGGTTGGAAAATTTCTCGACTTCCCTGGGCATAGAAGTATGATTGGACTTGCCATATATCAATGCAAAAATGGTACAGGCATCGAAAGCTCTCAATTAATAACTGTGGAAGTGCATCTAGAACACTAAGTTGAGAGCACGCAATAAGCTAATATGCGATATGCAATAAGCTTGAAATGCGAAGAAGAAGAAAGAACATAGTAACAGAGCAATAGAAATTAATAAGTTGATGTCATATCTACACACTTAGATTAATTTACAGGAGTCAGTATTTTTTTATTGGGCTTCTGAAATGCTGAATTTTATTTTCTATCATTTAAAGGGAATAACAGAAATAATTCTAAACAAGTTTGGAATAAATTTTCTCAGTTTTTGAATTGTCCACAGATTTTTAAACTTTTACCGCCTAGCTCTTAAATTCATGTTAACACTGATAGCAAATTTCATCGCATCGTGCACTTCTAGATCCGCACATTTGTTATTTGCTCTTACTGCTACCTAAAGCTACAACAAATTTAGACAGCACTTTCAGTGCTCAACCTGTAAAATGTCTACCTTGTTTGACTCTTATTCCTCTTCGATCCTTCTTTGGACCCTACCCGAGGTAATTCTGCTTGGCCATTGACTTGGAAAATTCGTCTTCGATCCTTTGGATTCTTATAGTAATCTGCTTGGAATTAGATTTGGAGAATCTTGGTTCTGCCGCCATGGTGCCTAAGCGCAAAAGAAAAGGGAAATCGCTTGATCCCCCTTCTGATTAAATTCAATTGAGCAATCAATCAATTTGATATGCTTTCGGATGATGAGAATGATTCATCATCTAGGCAAAATTTCATTAACATTCCCGGTTTGATGCCAAAAAGGAAAAGGTTTCCCGTATTGCTGTTACAACTTCCGATTTCCATGCTCTTCGCAAGGAACTTTAGAACTTCGTTCATTTTAAGTTTTCAAATTGACCGTGTATTGGCTGAAACCTTGTACGGATTCAAACGTCTTCTCAAGTACCTTACTGAGAAGCAAAACACATGTTTTACTTATGACACCAAAACTGAACGTCTGTTCAAGGTCGTCTTGAAAGGTCTTCCCAGTGAGGAATCCCTGGATCAGATCAAAGATGAATTGACTAAACAACTTGGAGTTGAGTCTGTCCAAGCAATCAAAATGAAAATGAAATCCCGTCCTGGCGATTTACGCAATTTTCACGATTTTTTTATTTAGTTCACTTCAAGTCTTGTGAACTAAACAACCTTAAGGAATTTTCTCAAGGGTGACCTCCAGAAACTTACCCGTCATAGGTCTAAATTCTTCATTATTGGTGATTTTAATGCAAAACACCGCTCATGGAATAATGCTCAAAGCAATTCCAATGGTAATATTCTGTTTGATGATTGTTCTGCAGGTTATTACACTATTCAATATCCAAACAGCCCAACATGCTTTTCTTCTGCAAGAAATCCCTCAACTATTGATTTGGTCTTAACTGATTCATGTCAACTTTGTAGCCAATTGGTTACCCATGCTGACTTCGGTTCTGATCACCTTCCAGTATCTTTTGAAATATCCCAAGAATTAATTTCTAATCTCAACAGCTCTACTTTCAATTACCATAGACCTGATTGGGAGCAATATCGAACATTTATGGAATATAGCTTCGATCCAAACATTCCTTTGCAAACCAAAGATGAAATTAATTATGCTCTTGAATCTCTGACTACTTCTATGATTGCAGCAAGAGCTGCCTCAGTACCAAAATGCGAGGTTAAATTCGATTCAATTATAATAGACGACGATCTTCAGCTCTTGATCCGTCTTAAAAATGTCCGTAGGAGACAATATCAAAGAACACGCGATCCTGCCATGAAAGTTATCTGGCGGGATTTTCAAAAACAAATTAAAAAGCGATTCTCTGCCCTGAGGAAGATATTTTTTTTAAATAATGTTTCAAAATTAGACCCGAGTTCGAATCCCTTTTGGAAACTCACAAAAAAAATTAAAAACTTCAAAAGCCTATTCCAGCGCTTAAAGAAGGTGGTAAAATTTTGATCACAAATTCGGAAAAAAGCTCAGAAACTTGCTAACCAATTCGAGAGTTCCCATAATTTCAGTTTAGGTCTTACAATTTAGTCCTATTGAGAATCAGGTTGTTCGGGATTATCTGAATATTTTCTCTCGGGAAAATATTGTTGATGATTCCTGGGGACTGATTTGGACTAATTAAGATCTATAACTAATTTTTTTTAATATGAAAGCTCTCGGTGATGATGGAATTTTATTGATCCTCCTAAAAAAAAGAACTCCCAGAGAGTACGTTGTCTTTCTTGGCAGAACTATTTAACAGATGTTTCCATTTGGCATACTTTCCTGATAAATGGAAAAATGCAAAAGTTGTTCCAATTTTGAAGCCGGATAAAAATCCAGCTGAAGCTTCTCGCTACCGTCCAATAAGTTTGCTTTCTTCAATAAGTAAACTTTTTGAAACAATAATTTTGAATTGAATACTGCTTCACAACAATACGACCTCGATTTTTGCAAATGAGCAGTTTGGATTTCGCCATGGGCATTCAACTACTCATCAACTCTTAAGAGTTACCAATTTGATTCGTTCAAACAAATCTGAAGGCTGCTCAACTGGAGTTGCTCTTCTAGTCATAGAAAAAGCATTCGACGTTGTTTGACATGAAGGTTTGATTGCTAAATTGAAAAAGTTTAATTTTCCACTCTATATTATGGAATTAGTTCATCGTTATTTAACTGACAGAACTCTACAGGTAAATTATCAAAATTACAAATCCAATCGACTACCTGTTAGAGCTGGAGTTCCTCAGGGTAGCATTCTTGGGCCTATATTGTATAATATTTTCACTTCAAATCTCACTGATTTGCCTCAGGGCTGCCACACATCTTTGTTCGCTGATGACACAGCCATTTCCGCTAAAGGAAGAAGTCTTCGTGTTTATTTGCAGCAGACTGCAGACAAGTTTTGATGTTTTCGCATCTTATTTACAAAAATGGAAGATTTCTCCCAACGCTTCCAAAACTCAACTTATAATATTTCCACATAAGCCTAGAGCTTCCTTTTTGAAACCTAGTAGTAGTCACTATGAACGGAGTTCCAATTTCCTGGTCAAACCAAGTGAAATATCTTGGATTAATACTTGACCAAAAATTAACTTTTAAAGATCACATTGAGGGCATTCAAGCCTAATGTAACAAATATATAAAAAAATTCTATCCTGTTATAAATTGGAAATCCAAACTTTGCTTGACGAATTAACTTCTAAAATTTAAACAAGTTTTTAGACCGGCCATGCTTTACGCTGTGCCAATATGGTCTAGTTGTTACACTACCAGGAAAAAAGCACTTCAAAAGATTCAGAACAAAATTCTGAAGATGATTTTGAAGTTGCCTTTCTGGTGCAGTACTACCAAGGTACATAGAATTTCGAATGTTGAGACTATAGAACAAATGTCCAACAAAATAATTAATAATTTCAGGTAAAAATCGTTAATTCCCTTAATACTTAGGTAATATTTAGTTTTAGTTTTGAAATACTGAATTGTCAAGGCAGGAACAATGT